TAGTCTCCTGCATTAAAACCCAGTGAAATTCGCAGCAAGGCTAATTTACCCATGGGGAAGGGTAGTCACTGGCCAGCATTACCGGCAGAGCACCCAGCTGGGCTGACTTGCTTCAGGTTAACACGCTCCTGGCTTGCTGACCTGAGGCCTTTGATCTGTCACAGAACTAACGTACTTTGAGATTTGCAGACCACTGGACTTGGGGAATGAAGGAGCAGAACTTTCCCAGGCCACAGAGGCTAGCAAGTCTGTTTGAGGCTGCCTCAGCTTTCTGATTAGCTAAAACATCTTTTATCTTTTAGCAAAATGTTTTTCACTTTTTACGGTCACGTAAATGACTTTACCGACCTCCCTCTGTGCATCTGTAGACCCTGCCCTCCTTTGCAGAAAGAACAGAGTATTCTTGTGCAACCCCCTAAGTACCAAAGAACCAGACCTTCTTGCACAACCCCTTCCTCCCTCATCCCCTGGGGCACCAAGGAACTTCTAGAATTTCTTGCACAACCTCCGTGCACTGAGATAACTCTGTAGTTGGCATCATGCAGTCTGCACGTAATCAAGAAAGGTCACAGACCACTGCACTCCTTTAATTGATTAAACCCCTTTAAAAATCTCTGGGCCAGGCAGAAACCTCAGAGTCGGGTTGTTTGTTTTTTTTTAAAGAATTTATTTATTTATTCATGAGAGACACACAGAGAGAGACAGAGACATAGGCAGAGGGAGAGGCTCCATGCACGGAGTTCAATGTAGGACTCGAGCCCAGGACCCCAGGATCATGACCTAAGCCAAAGGCAGATGCTCAGCCAATGACCCACTCAGGTGCCCCCAAAGTCGGCTTTTGAACAAGAGTCTACCTTCTCCCCCGGTGGCCAGCCACCTGAATAGAGCTCATATTCCTTTCTAATCAACATTCATCTCTTGAGTACTAGCCTTCCAGGCAGCAGGCAGCCAAACTTGGGTGCAGTAATATTACTTATGTTCTCTAATCCTAAAATTCTTTTGTCACTATCTTTGCTTCAGGCAAGTAGGATTCTTATAGCTTTGCTCATTCCTAGCCCCGTATACCCACTCCAGTTTCTCTTCATGTGCTGGCCAAGCTCTATGACCATGCCTTACCTTCCTCTGGGGCCATTTATTGCAACTCTAAATACCAACAAATATCTACCAGGCACAAACCTTATACAAAGACTGTATTCAGCCAGAATCTACTGGCCTGGAACCAACCAGGAAAGTCACACATTGTCTGTACCTCCCTTTCTCTGGCTGTAAAATCCCTACTGAAAGGTAGACCTCGTCTTGTTCAATTTGGACCAGGTCCAGTCGGCACATTAAAAGAGGCTCCTGGGGAGAAGGAATGTTTCCTTTGGTGATATTTTCCCTGGTCTGAGGGAACTTACAACATAGGTGGAAAGACAGAAACACATCAGATGTTAAAATGATTTGTGTAGAGGACTGATGTGAGAAATAGGAAATCTTAATACTGGTGTACTGCAAATTCACTATGTCATCATGGCAAATAACATGATGTCTTAAAGGCTTCATGCCTTATTTATAAAATGAGGGGTTGGAGTGGATGACAATGATAATAGAAATGTACTGAGCACATATTATATGCCAGGCCCTAGACTAAGCACCAAACAAAGATTAATACACTGAAATCTCACAATAGTGCTGTGAGGTAGGGACCACTACCCCCATTTTACAAATAACCCGTGAGATCCTTTCAACTCCAATGGTCCAGAACTATGTGATTTCAAGTTAAGTAATATGGTAAACTGTTATTTTCCAAAGGGGCCACGCTATTTCCCATCCCATATGCTTTTCTTAAAGTGTGACTCTGACACTCCTGCCTTTAAGAGATGGGTCTGTGTCCTTTCTCATTGACTTTGAGTGGGCTTGTGATTGGAGAAAGTGATGTTATGTGACTTCTGAGGCTAGATCACAAAAGCCAATCTAGCTGATACCATTTTCCTATTGTGACACAACAGATGACCACATACATACTCAGTGACTTAAAACAGTATTTGCTATTGTTAGCTCAGTCCATAGGTCAGAATTCTAGGCACAGCATGGGTGGTTTCTCTGCTCCGGGAGTCACCAGGTTGAATTGAAGGTGCTGGCTGGACTGAGTTGCCTGGGGGCATCTAGGGGAAAATCCACTTCCAAGCTTATTCACGTTGTTGGTAGAATGCAGTTCTTTGTGACAGCAGGACTTGAGGTCTGCCTGGCTATCAGCAGAGGCTGCGCTCAGCTCCTAAAAGTTCCCCCAAAATTCCTTGCTAACATGTCCAACTCTACCCTCAAAGCCAGCTGTAAATAATCTCCCTCGCATCAAATCCCTTGAACGCTTCAAATCTCTGACATCCTCTGTTTCTGGCTTTTAGAATGGACCCAGATTTAAACGACTTCAGTGATTAGATCAGGCCCACATATAGAATCTCCCTATCTTAAGGTCAACTGATTTGGGAACTTACACCTGCAAAATCCCTTTTGTCACACAATCGTGAGAGTTAAATCTAATCATATTCGTAGGTCTCACCCAACTCAGGGGGCATATGCCAGGGCAAGGGTCACTGGGGGTAAAATTTTTTTTTGGGGGGGGTAAAATTGTGCCTACCACATAGCTCCTATTTGATTCTTCCGTTATGCTTATTTTTGGAGCATGGCCACCATACTCTGAGGAAGTACAAGCAGCTTGAGGAAAGGAACAGACCAGCTGAGCAACCAGACAACAGCCAGTATTAACTTGCCAGCCATGTTAGTGAGCCATTTTGAAAGTGGGTCTTCCAGTCCCAAACTGAGCTGCCCCAGTTGGTGGTAAGGACAGCTTATTGAGTCCCACTCAAATTGCAAATTCATGGGTAAAATAAAGGACTGTTGTTGTAAGCTACTACTAAGTTCTGGGGAGATTTATTACACAGCAACAGGTAATCAAAATGAAGTAACAACCTAAGTAAGATGATCTACTGAAAGATTTTTGCAGACAAGGAGTGGTAATTTACATTTCTTTTAGGACACTGAAACATCTGATGATGTAGCCCTAAAATGTCATTCAATTCATGGTTGCTGATTTATTAATTCAAACTTATACTGAACTAATTTATTCTAGTATATTAGTCCTCCATATTTGGAAGCCCAGCATTTTAAAAAGGTTATCTAAAAATTATGCTGCTTCCTTTTGAGCAATGGCTAAACTATATATTTTAAGCTACATTTACAAAATATTTGGGATGTAAATAAACAAAAGATAATGAATGTATTAATTTTTAAAGATACCATGGCCTTGTTTATAAATCACTAAAGTATTAGTACCTCAATGTATATTTAATTACTTTTCAACAGGTATTATTTTCAATTGGAAAAAATAGGAAACACTTGGAAAATAACCATCAGTTTGTCATTAAGAATTTTCATCAATGGGGGTTATCTGGGAGGCTCAGTTGGTTAAGAATCTGCCTTTGGCTCAGGTCATGATCTCGGGATCCTGGGATCAAGCAGGGAGCCTGCTTCTCCCTCTGCCCCTTACTCCACTGGTGCTCTGCGTTTCAAATACATAAATAAAATCTTAAAGAATTTTCATCAATGGATATTAGCTGTTAGGTGAAAGACTGTTGGAGTAGAACTCCTCTTGGATTTTTGTTGATTACAGAGGGGGAGAAACGTGGCAGACAAAGCCTTAACCAAATAATCAAACTTAAAGACAAAAATAAAAACAAAACAAATAATCAAACTTAATATCACCAATGATATTGTAACAGTGACATCATGTGCCTTCTTCCACTGTGATGCACTAAGGACACACCATCACATGTGTAGTGTTCTTGCGCTGAAGTGTTTAATCTAAATCTAATTATGAGGGAATCCCTGGGTGGCTCAGTGGTTTGGCGCCTGCCTTTGGCCCGGGGAGCGATCCTGTAGTCCCGGGATCGAGTCCCCCGTCGGGCTCCTGGCGTGGAGCCTGCTTCTCCCTCCTCCTGTGTCTCTGCCTCTCTCTATGTCTATCATAAATAAATAATAAATAAATATTTAAAAAATAAATCTAATTATGAGAAAACACATAAATCCAAATTAAGGATATTGTGAAAAACCATTGACTTATATTCTTTAAAAATGTCAGTGTCATGAAAGACAAAAAAGGGGGAAGGAGCTCCTCTAGGTTAAGGGAGTCAATCTAAAAGAGGTAACTCAATGTGAATCTTGATTGGATCTCCCCTTTCCAACAAGAAAGAAAAAAAAAAAACAGCTATGAAACTATAAAACGTAAGTATGCACTGCATATTAAATAGTAGTGTACCTAATGTTAAGCATCTGAGTGGATTACTGTACTGTGGTTGAGGAGAATGTCCTTACTAAGAGTCAGATACGGAAATATCTAGGGGTGACATGTCACTATATCTGCAACACTCAGGAAAACTGTATAACTGTATAACATTGTGGACCTGGTTGTAGGATTTCCTATCAACATCTAGTCAACATAGTCCACAGACTGGGCAAAACAAGCAAATTTCCCTTTGGATAGTTAAGGAGAAACACATAGCTGGACGCTCACCTCCCTGGTGGTGCATGGGGCCCTGAGAGTCTTACGGTGGTCTCAGCACAACGGCGAGTGAAAGACGAGGCTGCGGCTTCACTTTTGCTAGAGAAACAGACGTACGCACACAGGAGAGCACTCAGGCTCTGCACACTTTACCGCAGCCCTGCTCAAGCGTGACGGCGAGGCCATGCCTCTCGCCCAGAGGCTTACCTGACAGCAGTACGTGCCTGTCCGATGCACTTTACGGCAGTCACGCGATGGTGTGGGGGAGTGCTTACACCTCCCGCGCCCACAGGCACGCAACGACAGCCGCACACGCTGTGTGGAGCGCTTTATGGCAACCGCGCGAAGGTGCGAAGGCGGGAAGCCAAGGGCGGGTGGGCCCACGCTGCGCGGGGTAGGCCCGGCGTCCCACGTCATCATAGGCTGCCTGTTATTTTGTTGTCACTCCCACAGCTGAGCGATCATGGCGATGGTGGCAGGACTGTGGCAGAGGGCGAGAGACTATATGAAGACCAAGGAGTTCCGGGACTACGTGACCAGCACACACTTCTGGGGTCCCCTGGCCAACTGGGGCCTACCACTGGCCGCCATTAAGGACATGAACGCATCGCCTACCATAATCAGTGGCCCTATGACGACAGCACTCATCTTCTACTCAATGGCATTCATGCGTTTCGCCTACCGTGTACAGCCTCGAAACTTGCTGCTGCTGGCGTGCCATAGCACCAACGTGGTGGTGCAGAGTGTGCAGGTGAGCCGCTACCTAATTCACCAGTACGGCGGGGACGCCGTGGGGGCTGCTGCGGCCTCTGCGGCCGCCACCGCCGGTCTCACCAGCGACCCTATGGCTGTTAGCAACTTTGAGGATGATGACTTCTGCTAGACAGCCCGCCGCCAGCCCCAACCTGTGGTCCCTGAAATCTGGCTGGGAAGGCCCATCAAATATCGGCAGTTTGCAAGCCCTGACCTGTTGTCCTCCCTGAAGAAAAGACCAATGAAGTTTGGTTTTGAGTCTAATAAAAAACAAAAACAAACAGTGCGACTCTGATTTAAACCTGCAGTTTGCTTATTAAGAAATAGAAAATAGCACAGAACTGAAGGTGTACAGTGTTGTTTATTTCGTCATCTGGAAAGAAACTTATTTAGGTGAGGGTAGATTGGCTGGTTTTCCTCTTCACAGGACCGGCACCTCGAGGGTTAGTTTTTACAGGGGAGGAAAACTGAATGAAAATGCCCCTGAGATCGCGTTTCATTACTTGTTTCTTTACTTGTTTCGGGCCTCCAAACCAAATAATGGTGCTTAGTGTCACATGATTTTGAAAACTTGGTATAGACAATCTCTTTACGGGAAAAATAAGTCGGGAGCTATTTCTACTGAGGGAAGTACCTCGGAGGGGTTTAAACGAATTCAGTGAAATACAGGTTAGACTTTTCAAAAGTACTTTTTTTAAAAAAAAAATTTTATTTATTTATGAGAGACACAGAGGGGCAGAGGGAGAAGCAGGCTCCATGGAGGGAGCCCCACGTGGGACTCGATCCCAGGTTTCCAGGATCACCCCCTGGGCTGAAGGAGGCGCTAAACCGTTGAGCCACCCGGGCTGCCCTCAAAAGTACTTTTTAAGAGAACCTAGAATCTCTTGGTGATTGGAGAGCGATTATAATTACCATGGAAACAGGATAAACAACTCTGAAGTCAGTTGCCCCGAACTCTGAATTCTAGATAAATAGAAAATTAAAACGACGAAATCACCATCGCTGCCTTTCTTCTTCATGCCTAAAAAAGGAGGAAATGGCAGTCCGTAAAACGGGTAAGCCTATGACCCTGTGTTGAAAGCTAGTTAGGGTTGGGGGTGAGGGTCAGTGGTCAACAGTTTTAGGCCACAGTGTCCCCCTGGTTATCCTGTGGGTGCTAAGGACTTAAGTCAGGTTGAATGAGGTGGGGAAAGGGAAGGGCGGGGCTGTGGGTGTAAGGCCATTGTTCCTGCCACAGAGGCTACACTGTAGGGTTTGACCTCAGATCTCCTGCCTCTGGAGGATGTGGGAAGTTCCAGGGTGGTGTACGGGGGGAAGAGCACTTAAACTCTACTTTTGTTAAAGATTTTAAATGCAGATTTTTCGACTGAGCTCGGTCGGCCCCTGACTCCCGGCGGCTGACGGCGACGGCTGCGGTGGGCGGGGCCTGGTGTTTCCAGGCTGAGAGCGGCGCCAAGGTGAGGAGCTCCGAGAAGGAGGAGGAGCCGGGGCCGGAGGAGGAGCCGTGTGCCCAGACACCGAACGCCATGGCCTACGCCTATCTCTTCAAGTACATCATCATCGGCGACACGGGTGTTGGTAAATCATGCTTATTGCTGCAGTTTACGGACAAGAGGTTTCAGCCAGTGCATGACCTGACTATCGGTGTAGAGTTTGGCGCTCGAATGATAACTATCGATGGGAAACGAATAAAACTTCAGATATGGGATACGGCAGGGCAAGAGTCCTTTCGTTCCATCACGAGGTCATATTACAGAGGCGCGGCAGGGGCGTTACTAGTGTATGATATCACAAGGAGAGATACATTCAACCACTTGACAACCTGGTTGGAAGATGCCCGCCATTATTCCAATTCCAACATGGTCATTATGCTTATTGGCAATAAAAGTGATTTAGAATCTAGAAGGGAAGTAAACAAAGAGGAAGGGGAAGCTTTTGCACGAGAACATGGACTTATCTTCATGGAAACTTCTGCTAAGACTGCCTCCAATGTAGAAGAGGCATTTATTAATACAGCAAAAGAAATCTATGAGAAAATCCAAGAAGGAGTCCTTGACATTAACAACGAGGCAAATGGTGTTAAAATTGGCCTTCAGCACGCTGCTGCTACTAATGCCATACATGTAGACCATCACGGAGGACAGCAGGGCGGGGGAGGCTGCTGTTGAGTCCACCCTTTTTACTGTCTCGCTGCCCAAATTCGGCTTCTCACTTCCTCTCACTCTCCCTTGCTCAGCTGAGACCTGAAACTATTCGAAATGGCTTTATGTCACAAGGCTTTAATCCTTCGAATTGTTGTATAACTTTGAATAAATGGTTAATGTTCACTTAAAAAGATTTTGGAGATTGTATTCATATCTATTTGCATTTGTTTTCTAGGTCAATTGATGTGATTAAATATTGTCTCGCGCCTTACCTAGGAACTGAACTGTACTAAACACTACAAAGTCATCTTGAGTATTTTAAATCTGCTTGTATGGTTAAGTGTCCCAACATCTGTGGTGACCTAACGTTTAATATTCTAGAACTGTCCTCAAAGAGTTTGTCAATTTTCAAGGCTATAAGAAAACAAGAAGGCCTCTTTTAATTCTCTACTTATCATTTACTTTCCATATATACAGTTTAACCTGCTTGGGTGTAACCAAGCTTGAATTCTTTAAAGCAGTTGCATAAATTCTATACTGTTTAGAGCTCAAAGCTACAGAAGCATTGTTAAGAATTGCTTGGACACTGAATTTTAAAATTTTTGACATTTTTAACAAGATGTTCACTAGTCCAAGAAACTAGTGACTAGTCCAAGAAAATATGCTTAATATACATTACTAAAGGCTATGTATGTGTTAACCTGTTTTAATGCCAAAAGTTTGCTTATGTGTCCACAATTTCTTTAAGACCTCCTCAGAAAAAAAAAAAAAAGACCTCTCAGAAAAGGATCTGTTTGCTTTAATGAATATTGTTGGGTAGAGACACAGTATAATGAGTGAAATGGGCAGAAGCAAGATCTCCCTACACCTAAGTGACTCCAAGAAGAATGAATGTCCATATTTAGATGGTACATTATGAGGACTTTAATCTTTCCTTAACACAATAATGTTTTCTTTGGCTTTTATTCACATGATTTCTAAGTATATTTTCCATGCAGGACAGTACTTCAACCTTGGTGTACAGTAACTGTGTAAATTTTTTCTTTCAGTGGCAACCTATAATCTTTATTTTTTTTGGCAACCTATAATCTTTAAAATATGGTAAGCATCTTCTCTGTTTTGAAGGGGATATGACAATAAATCTACCAGATGGAAAATCTCGTCTAAAGTAGAAAAGGAAAAAAAAAAAAAAGGGGGATGCCTGGGTGGCTCAGCAGTTGAGCGTCTGCCTTTGGCTTAAGATGTGATCCTGGAGTCCCGGGATCGAGTCCCACGTCGGGCTCCCTGCATGGAGCCTGCTTCTCCCTCTGCCTGTGTCTCTGCCTCTCTCTCTGTGTCTCTTATGAATAAATAAATCTTTAAAAAAATAAGTAGAAAAGCTTTAGTAATTTACTCAGTGTGATGGATCCTTTTTTTTCTCTCCCTTGGTCTATAATAAAATTGTTACAGCAGTGCAAAATAAATTCCTATGTATAAAAAAAAAAAATTCAAATGCAGAGAGGGGCCCCTGGGTGGCGCAGTGGATTGAGCATCTGACTCTTGGTTTCAATTCAGGTCGTGATTTCAGGGTCTTGAGATGGAGTTCCTGTCAGCTCTGATCTCAGTGAGGAGACTGCTGAAGTTTCTCTCTCCCTCTCCCTCTGCCCCTCCCTGCTCACTCTCTCTAAAATAAATCCTTAAAAAGAAAGTTTTCAAATCCAAAGATATTGAACATAATTCTTTGAAGGGTTCTGAAGACATCAGATCTTAGATAAGACAGGCACAACATTAGGGGAACTCTGGAAGGTTCCCCTTTATCTTCTGTGGCATCTAGGCAGTAGTTCACTCTGTAGGCAGTTTCTGCATTTCACAATCTGCAGATGGGGGAGAAAAACCCTGGTAAACTATTGTGTGTTAGTTATCAATTCCCGTGTGACAAATTACCTCAAAACAGTATAAAACAACAAATACTATCTCACACAATTTCTGAGGGTCAGGAATCTGGGAATGGCCTATCTGGGTTCTTCTGCCTCAGCATCTTCGCTGTCTGCTGGGGCTGTAGTCTCTGGACTTGCCTGGATCTGGTGGATCCATTTTCAAGATCACTCACACAGTCGTTTGCAGGTTTCAGTTCCTTGGCATGGGGGCCACGGGGCTGCTCAGGGCAGGGCTTCCCTCGAAGTGTTCCAAGAGAAAGCCCAAGATGGAAGCCACAGTCTTCTATAGCATCATCTGGGAAGTGACATACCATCAGTTCAGCTGTGTCCTATTGACCACATGAACCAACCCCAGTACATTGTGGGAGGAAAATACAAGGGTGGGAATACCGGGGGGCAGGGATCTTTGGGGGGGCATCTTGGAGGCTGGCTATCACATATGGTTCTGAAATAAAAATTCTCATGCCTTTCTGAAAACTCAGTAGAAAGTAATAATGCATGTCAGGTCATTGCCCACCTTCCCCAAAAGACGTCACAAAATGTTCAGTTTACAGTTTTGTGGGCATAACTAACATGCATATACCATGGAGCATGGATTTGAGAAGTAGGAAAGAAGTCTCTGGAAGATAGTGCTTTAGTATTTTAGATAGTTCAGACTATAATATAATAATCAAAACCAGTTCTTAAAGTTTTGAGATGAATCATAACCTTTTATCAAGATTTTTATTAAAACTTGAAAGGGGGCAGCCCGGATGGCTTAGTGGTTTAGCGCTGCCTTCAGCCCAGGCCGTGATCCTGGATTGAGTCCCACGTAGGGCTCCTTGCATGGAGCCTGCTTCTCCCTCTGCCTGTGTCTCTGCCTCTCTCTCTGCGCCTCTCATGAATAAATACATAAAATTAAAAAATAAATAAAACTTGAAAGGAATATTTCCCTTCACTACAATGTGAGTAGAAATTAATATATTTTTAGATCTGTCTTACAACATGTATTTTGTAATTTGAGTATATTTCAATCAAAGGCAGGTAGATTTCTAATTATCCTGGTAAAGGAAAGGTAGGTAATAATCCCTGCTGATAATTTCATATCATTCTACATTTATAATTTAGAGGGCAAAATGATGAGAGAAAAAAAATCCAAAAAATTCCAATGCCTCCAACTCTAAGGCAATGTTTCAGTTACAGGATCTAATTTGTAGTATGCCCACCCAAGAGGTCCAACCTTTGTTGCCTAGGATATTCATGTTTAAAGCCATATAAGTGATTAATACTTTAAAATGAGCCTTTCAAATCATTAGGGTAATAATCACTTCATAATCTCCCAAAACTCTCAAACACAATCCTTTCTGGCCTTCACAATTTAACCTGTCTACAGATCTCTTCCACTACTTTATGAAGCCAATAATATTGTCTGGATTGGCATTTTTCCCAAAGTTTTTGTTATTAACACACTTTTGTTACTACCCAGAATTTGTTTTATACTGAGTTTAGTAAGTAGTGTCCTTCTCCTTGGGCCCTCTGAGTTCCCTGGCAAAGCACAGGCTAAAATCCAAAGAACTGCCTTACTTTTGCAACCATAATGCTGAAACGATTTTTCTCCTCTAATTCCTTTATTAGAGAAAAAAATTGTGTGGTGGGGAGAGGCGGAGAGAATAAATCATATTACTGGATGAAAAGCAGGCACTCAGAGACAAAACGGCCCTGTGTGGAAAGGAGACCATCTTCCTGGGCCTCTCCAGACCCTGCCACCTCAAAAGTGCCCCCAGAAGTGGAGCTGACCCCCACGAAAATGGAAGCTATGACATATTCCAGGAAATGTGACACATGAGCCTTGCAGTTTGATTTTATACTGTTCACATCTCTTGATTATCTTGAAATGAGAAAGCTGTAATTAAAAACTTTCAAAACACCAGTGGCACAATGTTTGTTGAACAGATTTCATATGGGACTAAGCCAAAAACAGAAAAGCCAGATTTCTTCTAACCAACCCCCTCAATCCCAATTCCTTTCACAGTGGTACACAGCAAAGAAGCTTGAGAAAGGCACACAGCTTTCCAGACCTTTTATTGAAAAATACAAATAGTTTTACAGCATGCTACGCATTATTAAACGTTCTGCTCTTCTGTTAAGCGTGTTTTAGAGATCATTCTATACTACTGCATTGTGGCATTACTATATTATTCTAACAACAGCATAATGCTCTGTAGCATGAATGTGCTGGGATTTACCCAATCATCTCTCTTTTTTTTAACATTTCATTTTATTTATTTATTTTTAAAGATTTTATTTATTTCTTCATGAGAGACACAGAGAGAGGCAGAGACATAGGCAGAGGGAGAAGCAGGGTCCATGCAGGGAGCCTGATGCAGGACTCGATCCCCGGACCCCAGGATCACACCCTGAGCCAAAGGCAGACGCTAAACCACTGAGCCACCCAGGCAACCCTAACTAGTCATCTCTTGATGGCGGGCTGCCAATGCTGCTGTGAGCACCCTTTTGTGTACAACCTGTGCTGCGTGCCCAGGTCTGGAGAGAAGAGGCCCACAGTCTGATGTTCCTGTACACACTCTCTGGGCACGTCTTTCCTTTCTTCCATTTCAATGGAATTAAATGTTGCCACTCTGATGTTTTCTGAGCAGTATCTTTATCAGAACAGACAGTAAATCCAGAGATGGCATGTATACCATCACCCACACCTTATAAACCCTCACATCTGCATCCATTTCAGTGCCTGGCCATGACCGGTAATTGATAGATGTTGGAGAGAAAGGTAAGAGCTAACTGGATACAAGGAGTATGAAATGAAAGTATTCATAACCCCAAGTCCCTCAAGTTAGAAATCAGGTCTTAACTTGGTTAGTGAATCAGGATTTAATTTGATCCCAACTTCTAGATGTAAGGTCCATCTAGGAAAAGTTTTAGCAAATTTCTTAGTTTGGGCAGAGTTGTGAGATGATTTACTTCACTATTGACATCTTTTTTTTTTTTTAGATTTTATTTATTTATTCATGAGAGACAGAGAGAGAGAGAGAGAGAGGGAGAGAGAGAGAGAGAGAGAAGCAGGCTCCATGCAGGGAGCCTGACGTGGGATTCAATCCCAGGACTCCAGGATCATGCCCTGGGCTGAAGGCAGGCGCTCAACCGCTGAGCCACCCAGGGATCCCCTAAGCCACCCAGGGATCCCCACTACTGACATCTTCTAAAGGAACTGTATGAAATGAAGGGACAAAGAAAATGTATGATTCAAGACCAAACAGTTATAGGCATATTTGCATTCATCCAGAGTTTACAGCATTATATATATGCATTGTAATGTAAAAATATACCAAATATATCGTACCCTCTGCCCATTGTCTACAGATTACATCCTTGATGGGCAGCTGAGCAAGCAAAGAAGGATGGCTTCCTTTAGGCCTGGAGTGGAAGCACTTCCTCCAGGCGGTGGGGCAGGGGACAATTCTGCCCCCAAGGTCCAGAGGTGACATGGCCCAGCTAAGTAGCACTGGCTTTGAAAAGGAGCAGATATAGGGGATGGGGAGGCTGATCCCATGGACCACTGCATACAACTGGGTGGTGGTTTTGCAGTTTAGGAAACCAACAAGACAAAGAAGTGGATACAATAAAGCAACAGAAGTTACAAATGAGTTTGTCACTTTGTGGAAAGAAAATGATAACTTTGAAATTCCCTAAGAGTGGTGATATTTCATCCTTAAATCTCATAACAAAGGACCAGGCTTAGTTAACAGTAACACTCACATGTAAGGATAAATTGTCGGTGGATCCTTTAGTCAACAGATAATCATGGAGCACACGAGGGCTAGGGCCTGTGCTCGGTGTTCCAGATATAATGGAACAGAAAGAGCTGTGATTGCCACAGGAGCTAACTTTTCCCAGGAGTACCAGGAACAAGCCAGCAATCACACAGCTGTCCCTGGTGTCCCCATCTGTGATGCTGGCTCAGGCCCTCTGCCTGCTTTGGTCAGTCAAGTCCCTGTGTTCTCCACTACCCCCTGACCAGCCTTGGGCCCACCTCCTTGCTCTACTGCCCTGGGGCTACCAGAAATGGGGAGCAGTAGTTCTATACTAATTAGAAATGGCTGGGAAATGGCCTTTTAGGTGATTTGTTTTCTTGCCTTCTTCCAAAAAGGAAGGGTTTATATCACAACATTTATATCACAGCCCATTCCTTGGGCATCCTCAGAAACGAGACTCTCAGGAAGGGGTGTAGGGAAAGGGCTTGCGTGCCAGTGAGCAGAGAACTCGATGTGACCCTTCACGCAGGCCTGGCCAAACATGAACTTTACTGTGTAAAACAGCTTTAAGTTCAGGACTGGAAAAGAATCTCACCTTCTGAATAGTAAAATAAACCCCCAAACCAAAAATCAAAACAAACAAACGAAGTAAAAAAACCCTTGGATGACAGCATGTGTTGGCACAGCAGTATCTAACATTTTTTTTTGGGGGGGGGGCGGTTACAGATAACACAACACCAACCTTATGAATATTTTTTCCAATCATATGAATATTAAAAAAAAATGTTCCCAAAGAGTCAAAGAAAGTCCAGGAAAAGACAACAAAAGTTCCTTTTTGTTTGGGCGGGGTACTCTGGTAAGTTTTTCCTTTTGCACAGAAAAGAACAGGTGATATCGAAACTGTGCTGACCTTCACATAAGACCCCTGGTTTCTGTCAAAGGGCAACCTGAAACCAGAGAAAATATTTAATTTTCTTTCTTTGAAGGGAAAACCGTGGAACATCAGACAGTTATTTTAACAAACTTTTCTTATGGAAACGACCAAGTTGTTAAGAACTAGGCATTACCGGCATTGGCATCGTTTGAGGGCTCACATGCTTTTTCATTGTGTTACAAAGTTGATTTACTTAAGACTAGACCAGTGGCTTCAGGTATATTGGCCTAATAAAGCTGACAGGGAGATTATGTTAAATCACTTCAGAGATGTGAGAACCATCAATTATCACACAAAGCTCAGTGCCCTTTCTTTTCTTTCTTTTTTTAAACATTTATTTTTATTTTTTTAAGATTTTATTTATTTGTTCATGAGAGACACACACACACACACACAGAGAGAGAGAGAGAGAGAGAGAGAGGGAGAGAGAGAGAGAAGCAGAGACATAGGCAAAGGAAGAAGCAGGCTCCCTGTGGGGAGCCCAATGCAGGACTTGATCCCAGGACTCTGGGATCACGCCCTGAGCCAAAGGCAGATGCTCAACCACTGAGCCACCCAGGCGTCCAGTACCCTTTCTTTCAAATAGTAAGGACACAGCGAAACTTCAGGTTAGACTAAACTGTGTGTTCATCATGGCCTTGTGTAAGAGAATAGGCATCAAAGTGCTGAGGTTATTCTGTCCTTACTTAACATCATATGTGGAAACTCCCCTCAGGCCTTCTCTTTGGGTGCCTGGGCCCCAGGTTCCTCTGAATCTGGTTTTTGATGCTGGAGATGGAGGCTTTCTAGTTTCTGAATATCTTCTACAAGACCATTTCGAAGATCCTCATTGTTTCTCAGAAATTCTTTCACCACTTCCAGTTGATTTAAGATCTGCAAGAGGAAACCATACAGTGCATGGCTTAGATCACTTTATAGCAGGCTGATAACTCAGAGGAAAAACTTACTAGGTCCAAGACTGGCTTCTGCTCCTGTGTCTTCCAATAGCTGGCTCTGGGCCATACAATGGGGGGTTTGTTTGTCTCCTCAAATTTTTTTGCTTTTAAGGGCTAATATCCAAAATTGAACCCGTACAACTGAATAGCCAAAAACTTCCTGAATAGGAACAAAGATGGACAAAGGACCTGAATAAACATTTTTCCAAAGAAGATGTATGATTGGCCAACAAGTACATGAAAGGGTACCTGACATCACTTGTCATTAGGGTAATGCAAATGAAAACCACAATGAGATCTCACCACATGCCTGCTAGAATGACTATCATCAAAAAGACAAGAGATAACGAATGTTGGAGAGGATGTGGAGAAGAGGGAGCCCTTGTGAACTGTTGGTGGGAACATAAATTAGTGTAGCCAGTATGGAGAACAGTATGGAGGTTCCTCAAAAAATGAAAAATAGAATTACCCTATGATCCAGCAGCTCCACTTTTGGGAACACATCTGAAGAAAATGAAAACACCACATTGAAGAGATTATTTGCTCTCCCATGTTCATAAGAAGCATTATTTACAATAGTTAAGACATGGAAACAACCTAAGTGTTCATCGATAGAAGAATGGGTAAAGAAGATGTGGTATAAAAAAAAAAAAGAAGAAGAAGAAGAAGAAGATGTGGTACATGTATACAAAGGGAGATATTACTCAGACATCAAAAAGAAAGAAATCCTACCATTTGTGATAACATGTACGGACCTAGAGGGCATTATGATAAGTGAAAGAAGTCAGGGAAAGACAAATGCTATATGATCTCATTTATAACTGGAATCTTAAAAAAAAAGCCCCCCAAACAGACTCATAGAAAAAGAGATCAGATGTGTGGCTCCAAAAGGCAGAGGGTGGGAGGAGAGGGAATAGGAAGAAGGTGATCAAAAGGTACAAAGTTTAGTTATAAGATAGATAAGTACTAGGGGATGGAATGTACAACATGGTGACTACAGCTCGCACTGCTGTGTGATACATAGGACAGTTAAGAGAGTAAATCCTAATATTCACCTCACCAGGAAAAGTTTCTTTCGTTTGGTATCTAGATGAGCTGATGGATGTTCACTAAACTTACCATGGTGATCATTTCACAATATATACAAGTCAAATCATCATGCTACATGTCACCATAAATTTATATAATACTACATGTCAATTATATCTCAATAAAAATGGGGAAAACTTTAAAAGTTCTTTTTTGCTTTAAAATCTCCTACATTTGGGGATGCCTGGGTGGCTCAGTGGTTGAGTGCCTACCTTTGGCTCAGGGCATGATCCCGGAGTCCCAGGATTGAGTCCCACATCAGGTTCCCTGGGGGGCCTGCTTCTCCCTCTGCCTATGTTTCTGCCTCCCTCTCTCTGTCTCTCATGAGTAAATAAATAAAAATCTTAAAACAAACAAAAAAACCTTTTATATATATATGTAGGAAATAGCCATATATCTATCTCTATATGTGTATGTACACACATATACACATACATATATGTGCACGTTTGTATACATATATAAAAATAAGAGGCACCGGGTGGCTCATTCAGCTGGGTAGCTGACTCTTGATTTTGGTTCACATCATGATCTTTTTTTTTTTTAATTTAAAGATTTTATTTACTTATTCATGAGAGACAGAGAGAGGCAGAGACATAGGCAGAGGGAGAAGCAGGCTCCCCACAGGGAGCCTGATGTGGGACTCGATCCTGGAACTCCGGGATCATGCCCTGAGCCGAAGGCAGATGCTCAAATGCTGAGCCCTGAGCCACCCAGGCGTCCCAGTTCATGTCATGATCTCTTACTTGTGCTCTTTCTCTAGCTCTCTCTCAAATAAATAAAATCTTTAAAAAAAAATCAGTAATGATTTTAAAGAATGTGGAAATTCCTTACATGTTTTTCAGCCACTTACTACACTTGACATGTTTTAGCTGAATTGTTAAACCTGCTGGAGACAAACAGAGCACTATGGGTTGGGTGGTGGCTGGCTGCTGCTGCAGATGGGCTCATGGTGGACATACTCCATACATGTCCCAAGGGGCCCGAGCAGCTGCTGCTCCCATTTGGCTCTGAAGCGGAATGCATTTTACAATCACAATTATACAAGCAGAGTGTATTTTAATGGGAACTCCTTTTTATAATGCTGTATATCACTGAGGCTTGTCAACTGAACAGAACAGAATGGAGATGATGAGCTCTCTCTGCTGTACGGTCCCTGGCCATCCCATGCTCCATGATATGTTGGTGCAAACTGTCACACTAAATTACCACCATTAACCATTTTTTTCTCAGCCTGGCTTTCCAACAGTAGCCATACTGTTTTAATGAACAGCAGAAACAGGTCTTGTGAAACAGTCACTGGAAAAGCCTGTGGTCCTAATACAAGCACAGTATTTCTAAATTCCTAGATGCCTGTTTTTTCACATCTTAGTATCTCCAATGAGAAGGTACCTTACCGTTGATAGTGTCTTACAATAGATTGGCAGTGGTTTTTTTTTTTGTTTGTTTCTTTCTTAGAAGTGACTGGATTAATGGCGTCTCACAGTCGATGGCATTCTAGATTCACTGAAATCTGGTTTGTCAAATCCTCTGACTTTGTGGAAACTAACCCTAAAGAACACGGATGACCATATATGGTACAGAACCTTCAAAAGACAGTAAGTTCACATATTGTGGAAAGCCAACCTTCAACTTCTTTGAGATAACATCACAATCTATCCTAACTTCCATTTTGATCAATCAAAATATCAAGAGACATGTCATGCTCTACTGAACAGAAAGCATGAAGAATGAGAATTTATCAAGTCTACCTAGAGATTTTGGGGACCCAGAGGACAAGCCAACTAACCCTAATTTCCTGTCTATAAAACAGAGATAATGAGGGTTTAAAATTTATAGCTGCTAGCTCCTCGGTGATATATGATCTGCAGGGCCACATGTGGAAAGGCCTAGAAACAGAGCCTTGAGACCCCCGGGGCCAGCCCTCACTCCCCAGCTGCATGGCCTGGTGTCTGTCAGTGCACGCTCCTGGTGGTTGCTGCCTCGCATGCAAAGCAGGGGACCTGGTCCCTGCCAGGTTCCCTGCCAGCTCCTAACTTACATAGACTCCTCGCTTGAGTGCACTGCTACTGATATATTTTGCTGTTTCTTACACTAATAGGAAAAAATAACTACAGCTCCCTGAGGAGAGAAGACAGAGCTAGTGATGCCTCTGGGGCCTTAAGTCTGACCCCCCCACCCCATCCCTGGTTGTCTTCTCCTGTTCTAGGCTGCTTCTGACAAAAGCAGCAGAAACAAAACTCAGACTGGTTCTAATGATATTTTGAAATAAAGTATGACAAAACACACAGATTTAGAAAATACAAGACTTAACCATATTCTTCATCGCTGTCAATGCCTATGGTGTGCTGGGGTGGGAGCATCCAAAAACCAGGGGTTCTCAGTCCCTCTGCTAAAGGAGCTCACTAAGTTGAATGAAGCATCTAGGTCAAGGTCAGAATGATTAACAAAGGCCTATGGAGCAGTGAGGAGCAGGGCTTAATGAATGGAACACACACTTTGTATTAAAGAAACACTTCGCCTGTGTTTAAAGAGGTTACCAGCAAACTAATTTCCTTGGACAAGGTAGAATGGAGAGGTAAAATGATTTGTCCAAGATCTCCTGGTGATCTAGAACTCTAATCCAGGAAGTACTGGAATCTGTCTGAAGTTTACTAGAATATAATTCTACTACTGTTCCTCCCCCCACTTTTTTTATACCTTGCATCTAACAAAGAGGATTCATTTGTCCTGTATTCCCTAGCAGGACTTAAGACCATCATCAGTCAGCACTGTTCGAAGCTGGAAACCTTTAAACCCTCCCTTCCCACTTTCTTCCAGTCCCATGTCACACTCCAAATACTCTAAGCAGCCACTAAGAGCCATCAGCTCTGCCCCAGCAATGCCTCCAGATTCCAGCTCCTCCCCTGCACCTCCAGTTTCTATCTTTTTTCCACTCTCACATGGCTGTGACAGCCTCCCGCTTGTCTCCAACCCCCAATGACCATGAGTTAGCTTTCTAAAAGCCACATTAGATCTATTCAGTTTACTCTTTCCTGCTTAAAAACACTTGTGTGGGGGGGCCTGGGTGGCTCAGTCAGCTAAGCATCTGCTTTCAGCTCAGGTCATGATCACAGGGTCCTGGGATCAAGCCCCACATTGGACTCCCTGCTCAGCGGGGGGTCTGCTTCTCCCTCTGCCTTTGCCCCCCTACTCATGCTTGCTCTCTTTCTCTCTCAAATAAATAAAATCTTTAAAGAAAACAACCAACCAACAAACAAAGAAAGCATCTGTTTGCTCCCCACTGCTTTTTAGGAACAAGGCCCAAGTCCCTTGCAACAGCACAGCAAACCTTCTAAAATATGGCTTCAAGCTAACCTGACTGCCTTCGCATCTGACCATCACTCCTATACTTGCGTTCTCACTGCTCAGGTCCAAGCTATTCTTTTATACGTCTGCAACTGCTGCTCCTTCGGCCCAGGATGCCCTCTGCTCTTGCTAGTTTGCCAAACTCTTGTGTGATTCCGCTAGTCCTGGTTCAATGGCACCTTCTCAGCAAAGTTTTTTTTTTTTGCAATCCCCCCTGATCTGCAGAGAAGCCCCAGAGCCTTTTGTTCAGAATCTTGTTGTAGCCCTCACCATGTTGTCCCATTCTGTGCATACTTTGGGAACTCAAATGTTCGCTGACTGAGGGAAAATATTTATGTAAAGGTAATACTAGTCTGTGTCAAAAGAAAACTTTCTGGCAATGGGTTGATTTCTAAATCAGAAACATAGCTGGCAGTATGTTAAAATGAGCGACTTTTCCTCCCTGGTGCCTTTCTTTGATTTGTTTACTCACACAGAGTATAGGATGCTTTCTTTTTTTTTTTTTTTTTTACCTCTTCAGGCAACACATCTTGTTCTTGTGCTTGAAGATAGACCTCTTGAAGTTTTTCCTTTAGTAATTCCATTTCTATTTCGTTGACTTGGCTCTCACTCAGGTAAACTCCTGTTTCATATTCACAGCCATCTCGCTGATCTTCTGCAGGGATGTGAACAGCCCAGTCAGATGTCAACAGCTGTTGGATTACCGAACAAATATGTATGATGGAATGGGAAAGATGTTTCACTGGATTGCTCAAAGAACTTAAAACTAAACATCTTTGACTGGATCCACTTTAGCAATATCCTGTGACCAGAGAAAAGCTTCTCAGCATTGGAACAATTCTGGATTTCATATCAACATTTCTTTCCCCTGCTTACATTCTAAAATTTCATTTAAATCTAACAAACTTCAAATTCTAAATGAGTGAATGCAGTTGCCTTTCCCACTTTTGTTCTTTATACCAGAACCATTAAATCTGATTTTTACCTGTTCTATTCTAGTGTACGCTGCCACAATCTCTGGGATATTCTTGAATTCATTCAGGAAATTTTGGATCTTCATCTGAAAATCTCGAAGCCACAGAGAAGACACTTTCATCTCTGAAGAATGCATGATCTCGTTACGACACTTAATCACCTACAGAAAGGCAAAAAAAGGTTTCAAAGTCAAACAATGGGGTAAACGGAGATTTTGTAGTTCCAATGGAAAATTCCAGAAAGGATTTGTTAACTACAAAACCCACAAGTGTGGCCTGTAGTTGCTATCAGGGTTTGAGGGGATGTTTGTTTGACTGCCTGCTACTTGGCAGTCATTGGAGTGAGAAACACAAACAAGCCTACAACTCTTGCTAACTCTTGAAATCTTGTTACTGGCTGGTTCTCTCTTACACAAGCCCCCAAATCTCTTAACTTAAAACTACCGGCCAAAGAGCAAGAGTATTGTTTTCTGGCTCTGGGTACACCCAAAGGCTGAAGCAGACAATGTGAAAATCTTTTGAATATTGTTGGAGCTCCAGGAAGCTGGGCCAAGGGAGTGTTTTGATGTGGAAACTCTGATGAAAAGAAAATCAGGGACGCGTGGGTGGCTCAGCAGTTGAGCATCTGCCTTTGGCTCAGGGCATGATCCCAGAGTCCTGGGATTGAGTCCCACATTGGGCTCCCTGCATGGAGCCTGCTTCTCCCTCTGCCTATGTCTCTGCCTCTCTCTCTCTCTGTGTCTCTCATGAATAAATAAATAAAATCTTAAAAAAAAAAAGAAAATAAACTTCTGCCTATATTTTGGCAAACAATTCTATCACACACACACACACACACACACACACACACACATTTTTAAGTAGGCTCCACACCTAGTGTGGAGCCCATCACAAGGCTTGAACTCACGACTCCAAGGTCAAGACCTGAGCTGAGATCAAGAGTCAGATGCTTAACTGACTGAGCTACCCAGGTGTCCCATGTCTCATCATATATTAATACGTAATTCACATAAAGTCTTCTACGTTTTTAGTTAAGAGACACAAAGGGGTCAGGTCTATACTGGGACAGTTTTTGCCTCTGCTGATATCACTCAAGATTCTCAGTCCTTTCAGCTGCTGGCATGCCAGCGAAATATACATGTGTTTCTCTGCATATTATATATCATCCAGGTATGCTACATACTCTTTTTGAAGAACCTCAGAGTAATAAATGTGCAAGAGTTGCTCTCTGGTGAAATAAAGTCTAAAGCCTCCAGAGAAAATATGACAAGCATCGTGATCTATTCTGACACTGTCGGTCCATTAGTGTTTTTATTTCCTTCAGCTCCGTGGACCTTGCTCTTGCAACTGTCTAGCTGAAGACATTCAGAAGGACAGGATTCAAATGCTGGCATACGACAGAGTGACACACTGCTTTCCTATTTTTTTTTAATGGGGAAGATTACATTATGTTTATGGCAAACCAGAAAAGAGAAATTTGTGGTTTATCTATTTTGGCACCGAACAGTATAAAATCAAGGTGCTGGGAAACTTCAGTGAGGGAGAATTAAGGGGTCCTATATTCACACACAGCTTCTCCGACGTACAGAAGGGGCACATGCCATGATCCCCACTAGGCCTCCCGCCACTGGTCTCATCTTCACAGTCCCCCCGACCTGCCTAACTCTCACTGTATGGTTTTAAATCCAACGGCTCTTACCTCTGTGACTTTCTTTCGATCAACTGTGAAGTGATCGCAGGAGTTGATGAGACTTAAAAGAGCAACGGCATCACATTCCTCAGGGCCTGTTTTGTCCGTCAGTCCTCGGGGCATGAAGGCCTACAGCAGGGGAGGCACAACGGATGTGGATACCAGAGGCTCCTCCAACCCCAGGAGCTAGTGGGGCAGGTGTGATCTGCCTGTTTCCCGAATGATGACCGAAATTCTCTTACTGAGTTTTCGAGGTTGAGCCTCGTGAGTCAAAAACACAAGTCAGGAACCAGTGTCAGAGCTAAGCCTTGGCCAAGGGCAGTAACCGAAGGGCTGCTCTGCCTGTCCCTCTGCTATCAGAAATACTTAAACACTCAACAGAACTGGTTTCCCATCCTTTCCCAATGGGGTATAAGCAGGCAGCAAGGGTAGGAAGCACCAAAGTTTCAGTGGCTGAGCTGTTGAGAAGGTTATTTAAAATTTAAAAATAGTTACTCCCAAGTGGGAACTGTAAAGATGACTTAAGCAAGGGGTGCCTGGGTGACTCAGTTAGTGAAGCGTCTTCCTTTGGCTCAGGCCATGACCAGGGTCCTGGGATCAGGCCCTACACAGGGCTCCCTGCTCAGTGAGGAATCTGCTTCTCCCTCTCCCTCTGCCCCTCCCCCTGCTTGTGCGCACGCTCTTGCTCTCAAATAAATAAAATCTTAAAAAAAATAAAGATGACTTGAGCAAGTTCAGTATGATGGTAGCACAAAGTTAAGAGCCTGGGCACTGCAGTGTGACACAGCTGGGTTCACATCCCAGCTCTGCCACTTGCCAACTGTGCGGCCCTTACTCTCAAGATTTCTCATCAGTAAGTAGGGGATAAGTGTTGTCATCAGCCTCGAAGGACGTTGTGAGAATTAAATGAGTTAATGCAGGTGAACCACTTGCATGGTGTCTGGCACACGCTAAACCAATAGGCCATAAATGTTGGCGTAGATTATGTTGATGGTACTAGGCAAGCATGACCTATTTAGGAGTTACAGATGGAATCTTAGGGTTTGAGATACTCGATACATCAGAAGGGCCTTGTTCTAGCATAAGCTTGCCTTTTGTAGGATTTTAAGGCATGGACACCAAGATGGTATCACCACAAGGCTTGGGCATGTTTCTTTCCTGAAATAGTCCCAGATTTACACCTGAATACAACAACTTTACCAAGCTCAGAAGCTCACCAGTGACTAGAAAAGATGACATATGAAAGACAGCTTGCAGTAAGAACTCCAAATAAAATGAACTGTTCCCTTGAAAAGAAACACATCTCAGGAGGCAAGCAAATGCAGTGCTTCCTACAGTGCTGCTCATGATGAGATTCCAAAAAGGGCTTGTGATCAGGGCCCACACACCCCAAGGAGAGTCTCAGCTACGTTCCTGACAGTGGTAGAATCCTTCTTGCTGGAGCCTCACATACTTAAGAACTTTGTAGGGGTGCTTGGGTGGCTCGGTCGGTTGGGTGTCCACCTTCAGCTTAGGTCATGATCCTGGGGTCCTGGGATAGAGCCCCAAGTCAGGCTTCCCATTCATGGGGAATCTGCTTCTCCCTCTTCCTCTGCCCCTCCCTATTGCATGTGCTCTCTCTCAAATAAATAAAATCATTAAAAAAAATAACTTTGCATGCACTGAATGGCCCATATCGAAAGGTACAGTAAGTAGTGAGTAGCATTACTCTTTCCATGTCTTAACAGCCACTGACATACTGAGCCTCTGAAAGTCTACGATGGATGCTCCGATGTTTTTTGTTTTTTAAAGATTTTTATTTATTTATTTAGAGCACCCCAACAGAGGGAGGGGCAGAGGGAGAGGGTGAATGAGAATCCCAAGCAGACTCAGCATTGAACACGGAGCCCAACATGGGGTTTGATCCCATGACCCTGAGATCATGACCTGAGCCAAAATCAAGAGTTACAGGCCCAACTGGCTGAGCCATCCAGACGCCCATGGATGCTGCGATGTTAACATAGAAGTTAACTCATGTATTACAACCAAACTAGTGCAATGAAACTGCAGTAAGAAAAATTACTTCAGCTCCTCCTGGGAGGATGATCCCAAAGTTATAGGGGTCTTAGGTGCCTCAAATCCGGGCATAGTTTTTCTTTTCCATTACAAGGTGCATTTTCTCACCAATATGGGTTTGTCTTTTCCACATTCTTGCTTTAGTCTAGTAATTATTTCCCTTTCTTCTGAACTAGAAGATGACAAGGGAGGCTCTGCTGCCTCCTTGCCACTGAAAGGAGTTTCTTAAAATGGTGCCAAGTGCCACTGTGTTCTAGACATCAAATGCACGGCAGTGGGAAACATGTGTTACTGCCTCCCATGACCCTCTCCTGCCTCTTCAGTGAGTAGATGTTTTGTTTTGCAAAAACAAACAGGGGCCAGATCTGGCTCTGGAAAGGAGTTTAGAGTTTCTTCTAAAAACATCAGGAAGGGATCCCAGGGTGGCGCAGCAGTTTGGCCGCTGCCTTTGGCCCAGGGCGCGATCCTGGAGACCCAGGATCGAATCCCACGTCGGGCTCCCGGTGCGTGGAGCCTGCTGCTCCCTCTGCCTATGTCTCTGCCTCTCTCTCTGTGACTATTATAAATAAATAAAAATTAAAAAAAAATAATAAAAACATCAGGAAGCCTCCCAAGGGTTAGAAATTAGAAAATGATCTAATTCCCCCTCAAAGACTACATATCCTGCCATGTGGAGAACCAACCAGGGGGTGACCAGATGCCACCAGAGCAGCAGAGGTGGCTGGGTGAGAGGCTGAGGCCAGAGGCCAGGCAGGAGGTGGAGAGAAGGAATCCAAAAGTATTTTGCAACTGTAAACAAGGGGGCAGTAAGTGGGAGAGATGAAGCGAGGGTGGTTGTAGGTAGGTGCTGTTGGGGCGTGGCCACACTACAATGGGTTGGGCAGTCCAGGTGGCAAGTCCTGCTTGAGAATCCAAAGTGCCCAGGCGGTAATAAGAGGGGTTGAGCATCCTAGATAGGGGCATCTGGAGCTCAGAAGAGAGGGCAGGGCTGGGGGCACGAATTAGGGATACATAGCATGAGTGTAGTATTTGGTGGTGAACTCCATGGGCCAGGGCAGTACTGCCAGAGGAAAAGAGGGGGACAGAAGAGGCCTGAGAAAGGCCAGCTGAGGACTGGAAAGAGGCTTTGGAGGAGGAGCCAGGGAGACAAGAGACCCATGGGGGACAGTGATGACATAAAGCCTCAAGTGTTTCAAGAAGAGGGGCCAGTCATGCAAAATGCCCCTGAGGAAAGAGAGATGGGGCTGGAGAACTGAAGGGTCACGTGTGCCAGACAAGACCGATGCAGGGGGCTGGCAGGGGCAGAAGCCACACTGTAAAGGGTTGAAGAGTTACGGGCAGCTGGGGAAGAGAGAGCAGGCATAAAACCCTTTCTGAGAAGCTCCACAGGGTATGCATATGGGAGGCAGATACAGAAATGGGGACAGAGCTAGAGGGAATGGCTCAAGGGAAGCTTTTCTTTCTTTTTAAATTTTATTTTCCGGGGATCCCTAGGTGGCGCAGCGGTTTGGCGCCTGCCTTTGGCCCAGGGCGCGATCCTGGAGACCCGGGATCGAATCCCACGTCGGGCTCCCGGTGCATGGAGCCTGCTTCTCCCTCTGCCTGTGTCTCTGCTTCTCTCTCTCTGTGTGTGTGACTATCATAAATAAATAAATTAAAAAAAATAAATTTTATTTTCCAAATATATATTCAAGCAGTTTTATTTTTTAAAACGGCTTTACTGAGGTACAATCCACATACCAAACAATTCACTCTTTGAAGCGTACGGTTCTCTGTGACAACATGAATGGATCTTGAGGGCATTGTGCTAAGTAAGTCAGAGAAAGACAAATATTGTGTGATCTCACTTCTATGTGGAATCTAAAAAAACCAAACCAAACCAAACCCAAGCTCGTAGATATGGAGAACAGGCTGTCAGAGGTGGGGAGTGGGCAAAAATGGGTCAAGGGGGTCAAAAGGTACCAACTTCCAATTATAAAATACGTAAGTCATGGGGATCTAATGTCCAGCATGGTGACTATAGTTAATAATACATACTGCATATTTTAAAGTTGCTGAAACAGATCTTAAAAGTTCTCATCACAAGAAAAAAAAAAAACCTTTTTCTAACTATGTATGCTGATGTGGCAATCATTTCTTTTTTTTTTTTTTTGCAATCATTTCTTAATATTTACTCCTATCACGCCATTAAGGTATACATGTAAAACTGATACAATGTTATATGTCAGTTATACCTCAACTTAAAAAAATGTACAGTTTCAGTGGTTTTGAGTATATTCACAGGATTGTGTCACCATCACCAGTTGATTTTAGAACACGTTCAGCACCCTAAAAAGAAGCCCTATACATCTGTTATAATCTCCCTCTTACCCCCTGGCCTTGGCAACCACTCGTCTTTTTGTCTCTGTGTTTCTGCCCATTCTGGACATTTCATATAAATGGAATCATACAATATATGATTGGCATCTTTCACTTAGTATAATGTTTTCAAGGACACTTGGGTCCTAGCATGTATTAGTACTTCATTCTTTTTTTTCAAGACTTATTTTTATTTATTTGAGAGAGAGAGAGAAAGGAGGGGAGAGGCAGAAGGAGGAGAAAGAATCCCAAGCAGACTCCACACTGAGAGTGGAGCCTGATACCGGGCTCAATCCCACGACCCTAAGATCATGACCTGAGCCAGAATTAAGAGTCAAATGCCCAACCGACTGAGCCACCCAGGTGCCCCCACTTCATTCCTTTTTATAGCTAAATAACATCTCATTGTATGGACAGGGCACATTTTGCTCATCCATTCATTGGCTGATGGACATTTGTGTTGTTTCCACTTTTTGGCTGCCATGAATTGTGTTGCTATGAACACTCACGCACAGGGTCTTGTGTGGATGTGTATTTCCACTTCATCAAATACAAATCTAGAAGTGGAATTGCTAGGTCATGTAGTAACCCTATGTTTAATATTGTCTTTTAAAAATTATTTATTAAAAAATTTATTTATTTATTCATGAGAGACACAGAAAGAGAGGCAGAGACATAGGCAGAGGGAGAAGCAGGCTCCCTCCAGAGGAGCCCCATGTAGGACTTGATCCCAGGACTCTGGGATCACGACCTGAGCCAAAGGCAGATGCTCAACCATTGAGCCACCCAGGTGCCCAATAATCTGGTCTTTAAAAAAAAATTTTTTTTTAATAAACCAAGACAGTATTAAAGCTATCTGTATGGTGGTGGGAATAAGCTCGGGCGGGGAGAGAGTGGATCCCTGAGGCCTGAAAGTCCATGGGCAGGTGGGAAGGGGTATGATTCAACATACTAGTGGAGGGCCAAGGTGGTAAGAAGATAAATGTCCTTCCTTCTTTGTAGCAGAAGAAAGATAGTGCACATGGGGGGACGGGTAGGTTTGTAGGTCTGGTAAAAAGATAAAGCAGGTATCTGTGGGCATGTATCAACTCCAGGAAAAATGTGCAAAGTCAGTAGCCGGGAGCGAAGGTGGCGGAATGGGAGTGTGGCATGGGAAAGGCAGCAACAACTGTCCCCAGGAACAGGAGCCCTATACAGAGATGTGGCCAGACCACTGGGGCTCATGATTAAGAACTAAAAGTGAAACCAGTCAGCTCCCTTGTGAGATTATTCCCCTGAGCATGATCAGATGATGGTGTCATCAGGGCTGCAGTTGGGCCATGCAAGTTCAGAGAAAGGAGGGAAAAAAGGAGGATGTGGTTGGAGAATAAACACTTGGGTTGGACTAGAAGGTCTGTTGGTGACAGCAACAAAAAGGTGCATGAACAGGTGACATGGGCTTCAAGAGAATTCCAAGGGTATGAAAGCAGCAACAACGACCACACAGGTGAGGGATAGTCACAGTAAAGGGCAGAATTTTAAGTTTCTTTCTTTTCTAGGTAAAAGTAAAAGTTGGGAATTCTATGGTGGCAACAACAACAACAACAAAAAAAAGAAAGAAAGAAAGAAAGAAAGAAAGAAAGAAAGAAAGAAAGAAAGAAAGAAAGAAAGAAAAGGTGAAAGAAGGTGTAGATATGGTGGGTTTACGGATCCATGATAGCCACAAGTCTGTGGCCACTGATCAAGTCCAACTTCCTCATTTTTGAGGTTAGGGAACACAACAGCAGTTAAGCTAGGACTCTGATCCCTGCTTTCCAGGCACCAAGCCTGTGCCTGTTGCTAATTAGTGTGTAGACTGACTATAAAAGTTAATTTGGGTTAGAAGGTGACTTTGCCCAGCCCCACCTGCTACTGGGCTTCTGGAAAACATAAAAAAAAAAAAAAAAAAAAAAAAAATTCCCCAATTGGGGAAGTCAAGATCTAACAGTCTATCTGGCTGCCCACTCCACCTGACCTCCCCAAAGTTTTATGCCTTACCTGGGCACTTGGAAGTCCTTTCTGTTTTAGCTCTAACTTCCCTTGGCTTCCTCTGCTATCCTGATGGCACTCTACAGTCAAAATGAGCTACTCAGGGAGCCTACACTCAAGAACGTTTGCCTTATGTGTTTCTCCCTCTGGGCCTGTGCCCATGATGCTCGCTCTACATCTTGGGTCAGTGTCTCTTGTTGAAATCTTTCCAATAGATTTCCAAGCAGGGGTAGCAAACTTAAATGCCTTGTTAGTAGTAGCAAGCTTCTACATCGCTAAGCTAGATCGGATGCAGTACAACAGCTCTGAACCCCCTGGACACTAGATCGTAGATCAAACACTCATTCCTCTCTCTATCTCTGCGTCTGTTTATGAGGCTCTAGGATCCAGGTGACCAGCTACCTGGTGAGTCAGCCACCCTCCGGAGCAGGTCCTTACCTTGGCCACCTCCCAGGCATCAACGGGCCAGCGGCGCGGCTGGCAGTTCCCCCAGTGGACGTCTCCATTCCTGTTGGTGTGGTGTTTCAAAATCTCCCGTTTCCACTCCGCGCATACCTGACACTGAGGCTGAAACTACAGGGGGCGGCGGTGAGAAGGGGCCCGGCAGGGAGGGGTGGCGTCTTGGGCAAGTGAGCCCGAGGTTTTGCGGTCAGCGCCGCCCCGGGGAGGGCTCCGGACCCCGTGCTCGGGGACCAGGACGGGGGGTGGGAGTAAAGCCAGGGGCTCACCTGGCGGGCCCGCGGGCTACACCGTGAGCCGCTGCGGCAGGCGGCGCGGGGGCCCAGGCTGGGGGTGGCGGCGAGCAGACCGCGATGGAAGGCGAGTACCTCGCGGGCGACGAAGCCCTGCAGGCAGCCGCGCAGCAGCAGCAGGCAGTGGCCCGCCTTCACCCAGTTCTTGTACTCGGTGCAGTTGAGGCGCGCGGCCAGCTCAGACAGCACCATGTCCCCCTCGGGCCCGCCCCAGGGGTGAAGAGCTAGGGGGCGAGGGTCGAGAGGCGGGGCGGACGGCACTGCGCAGGCGCGGGAGCCTGGGCGGTGCCGTCAGCCAGGCCCCGACCGGAGCCCGCCCCCACGTGCAGGCCGAGGCAAGGGGGCGGAGCCTTCTGGCTTAACGGAGACGCCCGCCCCACCCCAGTGTTAGGTGACAGCAGACGCGAGTCCTTTATCCAGTGCTCGCCCAGAGCTTGTACCTGAGTAACAGCCCGTTTGTCTGTTCCCCCAAACTGAGACCCTGCCAGTACCCGATTCGACTCCCTCTCCTGTTGTCCGTGCTCTTTTGTAGAGATGTGCAAGATGCTCAAGGCAGTTTTTGAATGATGTATGTTCCTTGCATTATACAATTCTATAAAGTTTTACTTAGTTCCTAAGCCCAACAGGTTGGCTGTAGCAAATAAAGGCATTACTGCAGTGTGACCACTGGTGGCCTATACCACGTGTCTACCACGCACTTGCAGTGTGCCAAAGTGACACAAAGCTTAAAAACATCCGCCATTGGGCCATCTAGCTGAAGCAAACAGGACGACACATCCCGGATGGGTTTGTGGAGGGCTGCACTGCCCCAAGCCGTATAAGGGCTTCTTCCACTATTGTCCTGAGGCATCCAGCTTAGATGATGATTTAGTAGTCTCGGTTACAATTAGTGCTTCTTACCTAAGGCAGTCTTAACTTCCAAGTAAGTGCCATGAGGATCAGAAGGCAATGGACTGTCAACTCTGTCATGACAAGAGGTTCTTTCAGTTTGGGGGCTATTTAGTGAGCTTCTTGAACTTGGAAAACTTTTAAGTTGTGTGTAGTCAAAAGGCTCTGGGAGAAGAGTCTATAGACAGAACCTTCCGCTGACTTCCTGGTTAAAAGCAAAGTGGCACAGTGTGTAGGGGAGCTCTAGCTCTGAATTCAAACTGCCCCCTTTTAACTGTTTGATCTTAAGCAATTTTGATCTCAGCAAATTACTTCATTTCCCTGGGCCTCAGTTTGCTCATCTGTAAAAGGAGGGTACTAATACCTATCCCACTGAGTTGTGGGAATTAAACACACATTGAAATACTTAGGATAGTGCCTGGCAATAGTAAGCTCTCAGTAAACATTAGCTATTACTTTACATTGTTCTAAATGTGCCCTTCCACCAGTCATATTCCTGGGCAAGGTATTTGAACAAATCACCGGCCACTTGGAAAAGTGGACGCACTATATAGAAAATTGAGATCTGGTCTTTTGGGGTTGTGCAGCTCAATGCTGGCTGTGCTCTGCTTCTTTTTTCTTAATAACCTCAATACTAAATCCACCCTAAGTAAATTTCCAATCATTTCCTTAGACATATTGTCCACTCTCATCAAACCAAAGAGGAAATTCCACAAGAAATAATGAAATATACATTAACGTTTTTCCTTTCTGCCTCTAAAGTTTCCTGAGAAGTTCTCTTAAAATTTTCTGTATATTGATTTTGTATCACAAACTTGGATAATATACATTAAAGTAAAATATAACGGGTAGTTCTTTGAGGAAAAAAAGTCATGAAAGAAAGGAACATTTTGGGATGCCTGATGGCTTAGCGGTTGAGTGACTGCCTTCGGCCCAAGGCGTGATCCTGGAGCCCTGGGATGGAATCCCTTATGGGGCTCCCTGCATGGAGCCTGCTTCTCGCTCCACCTATGTCTCTGCCTCTCATTCTGAGTCTCTCATGAGTAAATAAAAAAAAAAATTTTTAAAGAAACTTTTCTGTGTAGAAATTGGATTCTGGATTTACCAAAATTATACTTCTTGAAGTTATCAAATTAATCATGATCCATAGAGTTACTAACAAATGATTAGTATTCTGTGGCTGAATGAGTTACTGTATTAACTTCAACACAGTTATTAGTGGTATTTAAATTAAAATCAGTTATGCTTTATTCTGCTTACACTAGCTCAGAGTTAACTTTCAAACATAAGGTTCAGCCGTGCTATTTAAAAACTCGGTATGTTCTGTTGAATTTTTCACCTTCTTCCTAATTCTGAAAGTACTTCTACACCTTCCAAAATGGCATTTCAGTGAATGAAAAAAAAAAAAGAGATGGCAAATCAGAACTAATTTCTTCTTTCGAGATCAAACTAATGCTAAACCAGATTACTATCTAAAACATCTCCGTGCAAATTAACTAGAGAGAGTTGGTAGTTCTCTGAAACTTGTATATATTTTATTACCAAATATACTAAAATCACATTGAAAACACCCATCAGAGAAAATCACTATGGGCATCCCGTCCCTTTGATTGAACCTGGGTAACAAAAAGAGGCAAAAGACATGGTTTATCCTGAAACCTAAGATTTGAATTCTAGTGTTTTCAAGCTTTAATAAAGTGTATACCAATTCCAAGTACCAAGCATAATATCAAAATTTGTATTCATGGGTTTATCCTTCTTAAGCAATGAAAGCAAATTCTGCTCGCTGAATCCTACCTTTTGATTTGCACGAGGCATTCAGAGAGGAGTTATCAGAAAAAAAAGTGTCCGCTGAATGCATCATGTTTAAAAAATACAATTAATGTTTCAAAACCACACTTAAAAGGGAGAATATCTGAAAAGTTTACTCTTTCATAAAATTTGAGACAATATCATCCTGCAGATAAAAATACATTTCTTGTATATACACGTAGGATTTCTATATGAAAGAAAGGACTCAGCTACCAACAGAAAAGGGCTGATCCTTGATAAAGACACGTTAGAGATTGACAAACTGATGTGATTCCCGTTGTAAGGAGAACAGAAAAACGAAGGATAAAAGATAAGTTAAAAGAAGGATAAAGTCCAGTCACCTGCTCCTGAACAGCGGCAGAGCTGGGTAAGAAGCAGGGGATAAAGGTAGAAATAAGACACTGAAGAATGGCAGAGAAGGCCTCGACTCTGACCAGAAGTGATTAGAGAATCAAGCAAAGTTGAGAACAGATATGATACAGCTGCAGTGAGATGTCTGAAACTAGAATTTGGTAGTTGATAGTTACCAGAAGTTCAAATCATCCTAAAGTGGAATTAGAGCATCTAAAATTCACTGGAGAGCCAATATTCCAGTGACCAGATAACTCTGTATAGTATTATCATATAAAAAACGGTCCCAAATAATATTAGGTCACCAGAAGACTTTTGCTTCTGATCACATTCTTTAAAGCTTAAAAAAGTCCCTGACTGACTGGGAGAGACAGCACAGTGCTCCAAAAGAAACTCGGCTGAGATGGGTCAGCACCAGAAACTTCACTTCACCCTGGACGGCACTGAAGTTGGCTTCTTCAAAGTGAGGTCGCTGTACCAGGTTTCTTCCAAGCAAAACATTTTACTGTTTTGTTGATAATGAATTAAGTTGGGATTGTTTAGAACAACCCCAAGTGTGGTGGGGAAGGAAAGGGAGGCAGAAGTTAAGCAAGATAAAGAAAACGTCACAGAAATTTAATGCAAGGGTGGAGCATTCAAGTTCTAGGTTTCCTAATTAATGCTGTATGCAGAAGTAACCTATAAACTATATTTGCCTAACAGAAAAGTTTCCATATCTTCAACAGATGAGAATGATTGTAGTATTTGGGATCCTTGATCAATATGAACTATTCACTGTCTCTTCTCAAAGACTGGTTCCTTCTTTTTTACCCAAATCCTACACTGAAAGACAACTACGGTGCTAAATATTCACCATCAGTCAAGTTAGGAATAGCTGAAGAAAATAAATTAAACTTGAAACAAAGAAGTAGAGGTTTCTGGTCAAATTTCAGACATGTATCATTAGAAATTAATTATTGGCCCCACCAGCTGAAAGATAAAGGAGGCCAGGAGAAGTCTATAAAGCTGATATACACACAAGTGAGTGTCACTGTTTTGTTTTGTTTTTTTTAACCTAGTTTTATTAAATATTGCTTCTTTGGGATGTGTTTATAACAACTCCCAGAACATTTTCATGTAAGGACTCAAAGCGGGCATATTAAAATACAGCTTCAATATAAAGTTTATCACAGTTTTACAGTATTCAAAAATGACAGACCTGCCTTAAAAAACAAAACAAAAACCAAAAAAAGGACTATTACACCCAAAACATAAGAAAACAATTAAATAAACAAGTTTGGCATTTCCATAACTTTATAGTATAAAACAGAATATTAAATCTATTACTGGCAAGCGGATACCAATGTTTTACCTAGTTTGAAATGTGTCCCATTTAAACACACTATACAAGTTCACTATACAAAAGATTGATGGTCTTTTTGATGAAAGAAGTGCACCCTGAAAATTTTTGCCAGTTTAGAATATTTTAGCTCTTAAAGTCAAAAAAAGTCCTTTTTTAAACTGAAGGCTAAATTCAGATTTTTTTTTTTTCTGTTTTGTCTCATTTGTCAGCCTTCCTGGTTTAAAAACAATAGTGTCTATGGACGCCCACCAGGGGGCAGTGTAAGATTAGCCATTAAATCACGAACAGCTGCAAATATTGTGCATTCACCTGCAACAGAGAAAAATGGTCATTAGCTATTCGCAATACAGGAAAGATGATGTCAACACACCGGTGGGGGTAGGGATAATTAAATCTAAAATCAGCAAGAACTTCAAGGGTCAAAATAAAAGTCTAAATTTTAACTGCACAGGTTATAGGGAATTATTAAGCTTTGTTGCTAACAAGTATCAAATGATACTTGATTCAGGTTTTATTTGTTTTTCTTCTCATGGGGAAATTCTGGGTAAGTTACAGTTGGGTTTGGATTTAAGAAGATAGGCCTCAAGTTTCTCTGTAGAAACACTGGAGCATTGGATAAACCTTTAAATTTGGGTTTCAAGGCTACTGACCGTTTGTGCATTTGAATCTAATGAAAATATCTAGTTTAGATTTATGCATCAGTTACAACATCAATGATGTCCTTCTAATGTTGCTTTAAAGGCTGGATAAAAATGTCTGTGACCGCACTGTGCAATAGAACTTTTTGTGCTGATGGAAATATTCTATATGTACACTGTGGCTCCTGAGTACCTGTAATAGCTTGTGTGACTGAGGAA